ATATATATATATATATACACACACGCACTCATTCTGATCAACACCTCAGACTTTTTTTTTCTCTTTTCTTTCAACCTTTCGCATTGTTTCTGCCGTTTCGACATGCTGCCTCCACTTTTTAATCAATTCTTTCCTCTTCCTTGTTCCCTTTCTTAATCTTCCCCTCGCTTCGGTCTCGCCGCGCTGTCCACATTCACCGCACACGCACACACGGCCCGCCCTCCCGGCTGACTAGAGGGGAGAAACCGAATCCACACGCACAGGGAAGACCAGGAGAAAGGGAGAGAGAGAGAGGCGGGGCTTAGTACAAAAAGAAAAAAATCAAACAAACAAACAGATATCAGAGACCAACACGCTTGAACGCGGTGGGTGTGCGTGGGTCCGGCGGCGGGTGGGGGGGCGGAGACGAGGGGCGAAGCCAACAACAACAGGAGTGACAGCGCCGAGGCAGCCACGCGAAGATGGACTTCGCATCGTCCCACCCATCGCTGCCATCGTCGTCGTCGTCGTCGTCGTCGTCGCCGCCCCATCGTCTCCGTCTATTATGCATGCACTCGCACTCGCACTCGCACTCGCACTCACACACCCACTCTTTCTCTCGCACACTCCCCCACCCCACCACTGCCGCCACCACGCCGTGCCCACTTGTGTGCTTTGTTGTCTCGCGTCATCTTGCCACACCGCGCACTGCGGCGTCACCAGAGCGTCTCCACGAGCCCCCGCACGCCACCGTCGCCCCACAGCGCCGTGGTGCTCTCCTGCGGGTCCGGCGCCGCCTTCAGCTCCGGGATCGCGCACGTCCCCCACACCGGGTCGCGGAACACCACCGCGTCCTCAGCGCTCTTGCCAACTGCCAGCGACGGCGCAGCGACGTGGCGTGCGGGGTCTGCCGGCGGACGTAGGCCAGTCGTTTTCGCGCCGGCTCCAGTGCCTGCTGCTGATACTGGGGTGGCAGGAGTGGCAGTCATGCCGAAGCCAAGCAGCGGCGTGAGGAGGGCGTTGTTGGTGGCCATGTTCTGCAGCGGTGTCGCCATAGCGACGGCAGAGACAGTGTTATGTGCGAAGGGGCAATCCGCGCTCAGACAGCCCACCGCCGAGCGGAAGAACATGCACTCCACGTAGCCACGTTTTGCGTTTGCCAGCAACGTGTCCCACTTGGAGCTTGTTGTCGTCCGGCGCAGGCAGTAGATCTGCATCATGGACCAAAACACCTCGGGTTCCCCAACGAGGAAAAGAAGACCACCGATACGAACTTGTTCGTTCATCTCTAGCTCTACAAGCTTCTGCGGGAGTGCTTCCTCTGTGAATAGCCTTGAGATGGGAATCGGGGATGTCGAAATGCGGAGCTGAACTATGTACCGCTGAGTACCATCGACAACGTTGTAGGGCTTTATTTCGAATTCACCATCCAGGGCTGCCTTTAGTATGGCGTGACGCTCCTTCTGCAATTGCTGCTGTTGAAGTCCGATGAAGGTCTGGTTTATCTGGGCATCATCCACTGGGGATCGCTCAACGTCATGAGAGAAGCGGCATGATGATCCCCACGTGCAGCGACCACGAGCGAAGTGACGGCATACCCGCTGGTTTTTGGGTGCAGCCGGCGGAACGCTCGAACGCAAAGCATCAGTGATGATTTGTGTCATACTACCCCACCACCACGAAAGGCCTCCGCAGAGCTTTTAAATACTAACTAGAGAGTGTCAATTAATCTGCGAAACAAAATTCAGACACACACAGACACACAACCAAAAACAAAAAGAAAAGGAGGGGGACAAAAGAGATGCCACACACACACACACACACACACACACACAGAAAGAGAGAGAGAGAGAGAAGCAGAGACATCTTCGATATTGTCAGCAGGCATTCTCAATGACACACATGTCCCAAATCGATGCGATACCTTCACCGGCCTACTCCTATTCTCAGCCGCTGATCTCTCTTAATCCTTCAGCTGCTGTGGATGCCGATAACACTGCAGGGCCTTTAGCTGTGCGCGGAGGCAGCGCTCGGAGCTGTGTTGACACAGCCCATAACGAAGAAGAAGAAGAGAAGCCGTCCACGCGTTCACCGCCCCTTTAATATCACCGATTCTTTCGCAGAGGATGGCGTAGTACTCCCACAGTGACACAATAATTGTGCCATGACCCTCAAACAGCGGATGCACTAAAATTTTTTCCTGCCATGGATGACACCTTGTCTCATGCTTGCTGCTGCCGTCTTGTAGGAGTCTGTCTCTCAGGTCATCCGTCATCACGCCCTCGCAAGTCTCACCAAGGAGAAACTCCGCGTTGAACCAGCCAGGCAGCACAAAGACGACTGTCGTAACCTCATTTAAGAGTTCACGCAGAAACGATGACACCACCTGCAACTTCAGAGTGCCCAGGTGAGGGAAATTTGCCTTCGCCACACCCGTCACCTGCAACGCACGGAGCAAGAAGAGGTGATGGAGCGGAGTGATGCGGTTGCCCGCCTCCCCGCGCAGCACATCCGTCAGCCGCTTCACCTCCATCTCCACAACTTCCGAGGGATCGTCTCCGCTAAAATCAACAGCATCTGTCTCCTTTTGAAACGCCGCTTCATCGCGGACCGCATCCAGCACGCACGGGTCGTTGAAGCGGTAGTGCTCCCCCAATGTCTCCACGCTGTGCAGGGAGGAGGGGTGACGCGGCAGCAGCAGCCACTCCGCACCTCCCCCTTTTGGGCACATCATAGTCGACTCATCACCCCCGCGTGGTCTTGTCACGGTGTACATCAGCCGCGTTGTGTCAGCCCCCGTCGTGCAATGATTGCAAGCACATGAAAAAAAGAACCTCGTACGCAGACGCTTGTGTCGCTCCTCCCTTGAAAGAAAAGTTGGCACATACGCAATTGTAAGACGTTCCCCAATAGCGATTGCACGCGTAGCCCGAAGCTCTGCAAACAGAACGCTCTCCGGGGTGCAACCGTTTCGAAACACCACAACAGCATTGGGACGGCAGCTGTGTTCAACCAAGGAGAGTCCACCAAAGACAGCCATCCCCCTTTCGAGGAGGCCAATGTGCACACCATCATCTGTTGCCGTGCAGTTGTGGTCGTCCGTAGCGGAGACCCCGCCGTAATTCATGGCGTTTGTTAGAAGAGTGACGAAAAACAAGAGCACCCGCTCCTCACTACCCACCGCAGTCGAGAGCAAAGATGGGAGACTCAACCACAAGAAATGCGCCAGGTCTGACAGCTTCGTCAGCAGCGCGGGGTCAACGTCCTCAACGGGGCATCCAAGCTCGTCCCAACGCTGCACAAAGTCGCTCTTCTTCTCACCAAACACCAACTCCGTCAACCAGTGGTAGAATGGACGCAGTAGACGGATGTCCCACCCTTGCGATGTGAAGACGGCTGATTGTCGCTGCACCAGCGCCATCGCCTCTCGAACCACCGGTGGGAGAAGTACTTCATCAGCGGCAGTGCTCGTCGCCACAGGAGTTGTGAAGAACGGTGCCTCCACCATGACGGTATCACCGCGGCGCACGGCATGCATCGACACTAGCACGCGGCCCACACTCAACTCCGGACTCCGCATGACACAAACATCGCCGCTCACTGCACGGCGACACAGTGCGGCCAACCGGGCTTCCCGGTACGGCACGAAGCAGAGGTGCAGGAGAAGGTCCGGCTGCGGGGTTACGCGCACCAAACGCGATGGTGCCGGCCGCTCCTTGTACACATCAGCGGGCCCTGCTTGCTCCTCACCCCTTTCACGCCAGCACACAACTTGTCGTGCAATAGCATCCTCGAACACGGCCCGAGTCTTGCCAGTGGAGGGCTGACTCATGCACAGCGTGTCGGCGAAGGGCTCGTACAGAAGCTCGCCTTCCTCCACCACCACCGCCGACTCCGCCCCCGGCACTGCCCCAAGCGACCACGCTTTCAGTTCAGGAGGAAACAACATGAGCTCAAGCTGACGCCTGTGTTCGTGAATGAAGCGGCTGTGATGCTCCAACTCATCAATGAGCTGCTGGCGCCTCGAATCCAGCGCGAGCCACTCGCGGTAAAAACGATCAATGAGGGCGCTTGTTTGTATGTTAAGCAGGGCAAGGTTTGCATACGCCACACGCTCATCCTTCAGATGCTGCTCCCAAGACGTGTTCTGACGGTCTGCCATCCCCGCTGCACCCCCATTATAATCCCCAAATATAGAAAAAGAGAGAAGGAAATATGATAAAGAAAACGAGAGATGCACGTTGTGTGAATAACATGGGGAGGAGAGGTGCAAAACTTCATCCCCCTCAAGAACCCCCACATTCCTTCATTACATAAAAAGAAATGAACCTGACAACCAAGAAAGACCTGACCGATACACGGAATGAGCAAGTGACCGTTGTACCTCCGTACTTTGTTGTCATTTAGTTTCTTTTCTTCCATTTTCTTAGCGTGAATATATATATATATATATATGCCTTGAGACGGTACCTTTCGCGAAAAATACCGCGACGCACAAGGTGGGACCTTTATGTCTAGTAAGCAATTTCACTCTTCGGAAAAAGAAGAGAGTCATCCAAGAAAATGAATCCCTCCGCCGATGCATGACTCACCCTCCCCTTACCTCACTTTCTTTTCCTTTGCACACCTTCTGCTTCTTTTTCCCCAGATCAGAAGACCTACCATGTGCGCGCATTGCTAATATCCTTCTTCAGAATCACGTGGGCTCCAGTGGTGGCACCGGCCTTCTCTTCTTTCAAGCTGAGCTTAAAGACCTTCTTGTCCCTCCGTTTATTGTTACTGAAGAACTGTCCCAGCTTGCGATCCATTTCCTCGTCCGCGCTTGTCGACTGGAGTGCTTGCGGCGGCGAGGCCTTCGGCGCCTTGGGTTGATTGGTGACCGTCTGGAACCCCAGCTCCTTGTCGATCAGCATCTGCTTCGCGGCAACCTCCACCGGGACTCTTGCCGCTGCCTTGCCCCTGGCGCTTGCCGCCTCCTTGCGGACGGTCTCGAGCAACGGCGGCTGGGCGATGCGGGTGTCCGAGCGCATCGACGCGGTGTGACGCGCCACCTCACGGGCGATGAGGGCCTCCGTCTCGCGGTCGAGCTCGGTGTCCTCACGGCGTGGAGCCTTGTGGTTCTTGCGGCTGCGCGACTTGCGCTCCTTTGGCGCCGCAACCGCCACGATGTCCGATTTGTTGATGCTCTGAAACATGAAATACACAACCAACAGGCCCACGAGAGCCACGCCAATCGCAACAAAGTAGTCCAGCATTATTGTCACACGTAGATATTTTTCCTGTGGTGAGGGAAAGAATAACAACAAAAAGACACAACCATAAAAACACATGCAAACACCAACAGCAGGAAGCAAGGGCGGGAGAGAAGAAAGAATGGGTGCTGCATCAGCCCCATCCCCTCCCCAACAACAAAAAAGCTACAGGGACGTATACCGACTTGTGATGACAAGAATCCGAAAAAAAGACTCACAAAAACGCACACACACACACATAGAGAGAGATAGAGACTCTCGTTTGTCGCAGGGAAGTATGCAGGTCAAATATAAAATGGATGGATAGAAATGAGGAAAAGAGGACTCTTCAAAGAGTTAATTCAGTGAACCCTCCAGGGTACAACACATGCGAGTATAACTGAAAGTCAACGCTTTCATCACTCCTTCCTGCCTCTGTTTGACACTATCCCTTTTCGTACCTTCTAGCTATCTCTACGGAGTCTGTTGGTACTTCGGTCCCATGACCAAATAAAAATTCGGCTCACTTTTCATCTTACATTGTCGCCTTTGCCTGCATTCGCACAGCTGAGGCAAGGAGATAATTATTTCTGAGGACGCCATGCGTGAAGTAGGGCAGGTACGTCAGCACATTCTCGGCTGTGGGAAAAATTCGGCGAAAACCACCTGCACATGCTAACTCCTCCTCCGCCTCTATCAAGAGAAGGTACTCGGCAGTAGAGAGAATGGAATCAGGTTCCTTGGAATCATTAAAACGCCTCAACAACGGCTTTCGAATCAGCTCTGCATTCTCATGCGGGTGGCGACCAAAGCGGTAACGAACATTCTGTCGACTCTCTGATGAATCACCCATATCCGGTGGTGTGCACCCAGTTGCGTTGCGCTGGTACGGTATAACGCGGATAAGTGTTAGTAGGTGAGCCAACATACGCGACTTGACGGCCTTATCGAGCGGAGTTCCTGTTGCCAAAGAGGGCATGATGTTTACTTCAATAAGACGCACGTTGTGCTGATCATCTACCATCAGATCTAGACCGTACATTTCAAAGCATCCTCGACCCGTTTTATCACGGCACTCCTTGCGCATCCGTTCCACCACATCATTCTCAATGCTTAGGAAGGCCTTAATAACAACGTCCTCACAGCCGCGCATAATCTTATCCCATGTTTGCTGGCCATCCTTGGAGTTCTTTACCAAGAACTCACGCAGATCGGAAAGACACCATTTTATGTCTATGGGGTCATCTGAGTGGTACTCCTTGCCGCGACTAGCCCGATTTAGCTCAGAAGTTTTGTTGACTGAGTAGTTAGTTAGGTGCATCTGAATATTATCTAAATCCTTGTCCATACCGGGATATTTCTGCGCAGCAAATCGCACGAGACCTTCGTCAAAGAGAAATATACGCAATGGATCGAATGACGTCACGACGCAGTAGAGTCGAAGATCAAACTTTCGTCCGTAGATCAGCATGGGATTCCCGACGTACCGCTGGCAGACCATCTGACGAACCCCTGTTGGCATGGGCGGCATCCCGTGGTATAAATGAATGCCACGCCCACAGCTAGAAGCGCTGGGTTTTATTATAAAGATCAGCGGATCCTCACTTGTATCTGGCTGACGTTTTACGTATTCCCCAAGTTCGACCCTCTGTTTAGGGATAAGAAACGTTGTTGGAATAATCTCAAACGTATCAAAGCCGAAATATCCCTGCATCTTAGCGATGTTGCTGGCCAGACTATCTTTACGTCCAATTCCCCACGTTCCTGGGAAATGGTTAACTTTTTGGTACGGACCAAGATGAGCTAAAGTGTACGGTGTGGCCCGCTTCGCCCATATCACGTTAAAGAGTTCATTTGAAGGAGTGTACTTCATACCCGATGCCTCAAAGGCATCAATGACCACTTTGAACGCCACGGCACCAGGCCCAAGTTTGTACAGGCACATTCTGTTGAGGTTATTCTTCTGCACAGAGAGAGTGCTTAGTCTAAAGTTGGTGCGGTCGCGACCATGATAGGCATTATTTAACTGACTGGGGGTCCGCGCGTCGCCAGATTTGTTTTTCGAACGGTTGCTGTAGTGTATAGAGAAGAAGAGACTACAAGAAGAAAGCGGGTAGAGCGGTTCCACCACGGTGTAATTCATTTTCTCTGTTGCCGCCTGTGCTGCTCTTTTCGAGCACGACATATCCTCCAGCAGCGTGACCTCTGATGATGACAAGTCTTCCTCTGAGAAAATAAGCGAGCGTGAGTGACTTCCGCGTGAGCGCGGGATCATCGGCAGCCGCTGCCGCGTCCTGACCGACACCGGCGGCACATACTTTGGGTTTGACGGGTCCTCGTTGTTTGCGTCCGGCACAAACTTGCCGATAACAAGACGCTGATGCTTGCGGAGAACATACGTCGTCTCGGGTGTTATGTCATCAACATCAACGTTACCATCACGCTGCAGGAATCCAAGGGACTGAGGGTACAATGTAAGAAGATTGAGTGGCGGAGGGAGAACCTTGCCGGCCATCACGAGATGCAAGAGACAGCGAACGACTCTAAACAGCTTTTTCTTCTTCCCCTTCACCAGAAGACCGGAAAAAATAAAAGGACACAAATAGAAAAGGGGGAAAAAATACGAACAGACATGAAGAGACTTGATGAAAACAGAAGGTACGACCAAACCACCTGCATGCCATGCATATATAACATCCGCATGCTCATCAAACAGAAGCAGAAGCGGGAAGGGGCTAATTGCAGTTTCACTCTACCTGTCCTTCTCCACCCCCCCCACACACACTACCTTCCCCCAATACGCAGGCCACAAGGGCCGTCATCGCGAGGGTAACAGAGGAGGCTGCCGTTTTTCTCAGAACTAATTACATTGTCCACGCGCACCACTCTACACAGATTGCGTTGATAACAAACAAAAAAAGAAGTGGAACTCCTCATTTGGGAAGAGAGGGAAAGTATGAGATCGCCGGACCTTTTCTCACCAGACACGAGGAGCCATGAAAAAAAAAAAAAAGCAGCTAAATCATAAAACGCAACGCATACGCACGAAAGCATGGGGACACATCAAGACCCGACTACCAGCCCTCTTCTACCCTCCCCCTTCCTGCTTCTTGATTTTACTCCCATCTCTTCTTCACTCTCCCAAAAACATAAATCTGATGTTACACGCGTGTGTATAACCATATATCAAGGCAATGCGAACAGTGCACACATACCCCGACCCTTTTTGAGGACTCCTAACAAGCAGGGAAGGCAACTGACAATTCTCAGTATTCATGCGGTTCAATCGAAACGAACAATACACGAAAAAAAAAACGCAAAAAAAAAAGACAACGCACAACGAATGCTTTGGAACCCGGTCGCATCAAGAAACCACAAAAGATGACTGCTGCGGCGACCAGTCCTATTATAAAATGCAAAAAAAAAGATGAAGAATATATTTCACGTTGATATTCTACATGCCACACGCACGATGGAATTTGGATATCCACATGTCACGCTCCTCCGCTGACTTTGCCATAGCAATAATCTTTTGGCCATTGTTAAACCAAATGACCAGCTGATTCGGATGAGAGCGGCAATATGCCTCTGGTACTGGGAATACATCGTTTACAGTCTCCAAGCTTGCAGACTTTGGTGAGACGCCATCCTTCTCGGGGTTCTCCGTGAGGGAGATGCGCAGCTGCCCGTTTCGGATAGAGAAATACCGCTTTTTCCACTTCATGTCAGAGCTGTACTTGAGTAAATACCCCTCCTGCACCACTTCGGAGCTCACGGTACCAAAATGCAATGATTGAGAGAGAGGCGCTTTTGCACGGCTCTCTGCGAGCTGCTTGAGGATCCTCTCCTTGTCATGCTTCTCGATCACCTCAGAATTCTTTACGATCTCCTCAAATATATTAGCCACATACTTCAAAAGCTCTGTCTGCAGCAGCTGTGTCGTTGTTGGGCGCAGTCCGGGATCCTTCGAGAGGAGCGGCTCCATGAGCGCTTTCATTCCGTCAGACACAGCGCATGGAAAAGGGTCGTACCTACCGTACAATACTTGCTGCATTATCTCACGCTGTGACGGCCCCTTGAACGGGCGGTGCAGCGTTAACAGCTCGTAGAGAATTACACCAAGTGACCACATGTCAGCCTTTTTACTATACCTCTTTCGCTCCCAGAGCTCGGGTGCGAGGTAGTAGGGCGTTCCACAGAAAGAAGAACCAACATCCAGTGAAACAGAATCACTGTACTGCTTGGAAAATCCAAAGTCGCCAAGTTTAATGATACCAGTGGGCATCAGAAAAATATTGGCACTCTTTAAATCACGGTGCATCATCCGTCGGCTGTGCACCTCGTCCAGTGCCAAGACAATTTGATAGAAGAGGAGACCTGCCTCATGCTCCTTAAATGGTAAGCGCTCCTTGAGGCGTTGCTTTATTTGTTTGTTGAGGTCGCCACCACTTCCATATTCCATGATCAAGAGCAATTTGTCTTCGGATTTTAGGTCGTCGTAGTGCTTCACAATACCGAAGTGATCGCATGCGGCCAGACAATGCACCTCACTGCGAGCGTACGCTGCCTGCTTCTCGTCATTCAGCATGACGAATTTGGCCACCACTTTCTGTTTGTCCGATCCTCGTAGAGCCACAAATGCTGCCGTTGTCGCATTTCGTCCCACAATGTGCTTCAATATGTACAGGTGCGCTCGAAGATCCTTGACAGCTTCGTCAGGGACCTCCTCCCCTTCTGGAAGATCAAGCACCTTCTTGATCGTCCCTGGTCTGGCCTCCTGGCAGTACTTCTCCATCTCCTCTTCGGACGTAAACAGGACGTTTGGGAAAAACTGGGCATAGTGCCGCAGCAGCTGAGCGTCGTGACTGTCGTTGCTCGGCATTCCTCGAGAGTAGCACTTCAAGAAGACTGAAAGATATAAAAATAGAATAAAATAGGAAATGATTGATTAGGCGGAGACAATGGGTGTCATATCTTTATAAAGTGGAAAAGAGCAACTTTTCTACTTCATCGCGTCACTCAAAGCAGCGATGTGTGACTACCAACTACGCCCCTCCATATGCACACAGACAAAAACAAACAAAACAGGCACAAAATCAATAGTGAAATGCCAGGCTTTTCATTATTTCTTCGGCATCTCGCCGTCTACAGCTCTTCATACCAGGAGATGTAGAATTTGTGCCTGCTGTTGCCACCGCTGCTACCGCTGCCGTTGCCGTCACCGCTGTGCGCTGCGAGACAGGCTCAGGGGTGTAGGAAATCACTGTCTGAACGCTTGAGAGTGGGGCATCCACTCCAGCCCTTAGGCGACATGCACTGCGCAAAATAGCGTCACTGCTTGGAGAGTTCTCTCTCGCACGTTTGCTCTGTACTCGCGAAGGCGTCTCTTCTGATGGAGCTTTCAACCGCTCTAACCACGTTCCAGCCCCTCCGTCGTCAGTCGATTGATGATGAGTGCTGCTGCAGATAGAGAAGACATCCACGATAGCCCGCAGAACCTCGCGCTGCCGCTGCACTCCCTCGGGACTAAGGTTGAGAAAGTGCTCCTCTAGGCACTTGGAGCTTGTGTACACATCCGGGCCAAGTGATTCCAAGGGACATTTCAGACTGTGGGCGCTCTGCTCCATAAGAAAGATCGCCATCGCCGCGTCTTCCTCCATACAGACATGCTCCAAATGCAGCTTGGCATACGCCTGTGTGATGCGAACAAGGGACTCCAGTAAGCGTATAGTGACCGGTACGCAATCAGCAAGGGATGGTGATGAACCTCGACGGTGCTGCAGCTCGTAGTAGGTCTTGAGAAGTTCAGCCGCCCGATCTGAGAGGAGTGGACCTTCATTCTGTGCATAGTGTGCACGTATCCAACGCAGGTAACGGCTGATGTCTTCTTGCGACAACACAGACGGTGGCTGTTGTCCTGCCTGGGAGCAGTTGAGGATGTGGGTAGCAATACGGCTGTCTATCTCTGGTGAGGGCGTGTCCCAGAGCAAGAAAATAAAATCAAAGCGACTAAGGAGCGGCCCACCGACGCCGATCTCCGTTCCACCATGCCGCGTCATTGGCGGATTGCACGCCGACACAACTGAACAAGAAGTCCGAAGCTTTGTTACCATGCCAGCCTTGGCTACCGATATTGTCTGCTGCTCCATCGCCTCATGCAGGGAGGCCCTATCGGCCGACGATACGGTTCGCAGCTCATCAATAACACAGACACCACCGTCACTCAACACCAATGCACCAGGCTCGAGCACCCACTCACCATTTTCCTTTGCTGCCGCTACTGTCAGCCCGGCGGAGGTGCTCCCAATACCGGTGGTGGAGGTGCTCCGCGGCGCCAGCAGGGCGGCGAAGCGCAGCAGCTGCGATTTACCTGTGGAAGGATCTCCTACGAAGAGGCAGTGAATCGTCGAGCGTATGTGCATGCTCGTTTTGCCAGCTGTGGATGTCCCGCCCACAGCGGCAAGAAGAACAGCCATGCGGGGTGCAAAAAGCCCCGACAACTGCGGACACACAGACGTTGCTAGCGCAATGACTCTCCGAAGTCTGTCCTTGCAGAAAGATGAAAAGAACGACTCGGGACTGAAGGTCGGTCCCTCCATAGATCCAGCGGCTCTGCGCCTCGGTGCGGTAGCTGCGCTGCCAGACCCACCGTCGCGATGTGATTCCATCGTGTTTATGTTGAGGGCCCACACAGTGGGCTCAATGATCGGACGGCTGTTCGGGTGTGTCGCGCGCCACTTGGGAAACAGTATGCCCACTACTTCCACCAGCTGGCCCACTGTGCACTTTGTCGTGAGTTCGTCTTCGAGCGTCACAAGCAGTGTACGCGGGAGTCGTCCTGAGAGACTCGAGCGCTGCTGCAGGCGACACTCCGCATAGTCCATCCACACCTGCCCGACCTGCTGCAGCTCCTCACCTCTACACTCCTTGCGCTCACAGCGCCCCTTCGGCTTGGCGGCGCGATCAAAGGGACTGGAAGCAATCTCAACCGTCTCGCGACACTTGGGACACTTGAACCGGTGAACAAACGGCACCACCCGCTTAGTGTTCATTCGCACAATTGAGCCACAAACACCAATAAGTACGCCTCCAGGCGGCGGCATCGACGGTGGTGGTGCGCCGACAATAGGCAGGTGCACCAGTCTTGGCGAGAGATCGGCGGGATTGAGGCAGCGACCAGCGCCCTTGCACATCTCCGCACACACCTGCCGCAGTGCATCCACCAGTGTTGTCGTCTGGAAAAAGAGGAGGTCGCTCAGCGATGGGCATGCGGCGAGCAGCTGCATGCAGTCCACCTCCTGCGTCCACACACTTCGACTTGGAATGGAGTCGGCGGTGCTCGGCGCGGTGGTCAGACACTGCGGGGGTTCACAGCACTCCAGGAAGAATGTGCGCAGCTGTTTCAGCAGCTGCTCGCCCACCATGGCATCAGTTGCCATAAATGCGCCACTCTTCGCGGGCCTACGGGCTATCCCCGGGGAGCCACTTGACCAAACACGAAAGCAAGGCAAGACCGCAGAAGCAACCACGAAATAATAATCAGGCAAAAAAAAAAACAACAACCGTAACAAACACACACTCATACAGACACCTGCATCTGTACGCAAACGAAAAGCTTTCAACAACTCTTCCTTCTTTTTTTTTTTTTAAGACCGCGCCTGTTCATGAAAACCGAATGCATCCGCCAAACCCGTCTCTTTTATGACTGGGTGAGGTGAGAGTAGTACGCCTCCCAGTCCGCCTCTTGGCTCTCGTCGAAGAGTGACACCAGCTGCTCGTTCCGTATCTCCTCCTCCAGCGCTAGGAGAAAATCCTGCACAGCAGGGTCACACACATCGCACTGAAACTCCGCGCCAACAAAGGCGTATGCGTCCGACACCTCGCTGCGGCTGTTCTCGTCTGACTCCTTGCGGCAGTTGCTTAACTCCGTCTGACGCAGTCTTGTTCTGTTCACCACATTCCGCTGCAGCATCCGCACCTTGATCTCCGACCGCATCGCATGTAGTGCCTTGACGCTTGACCGGCGCATGACCTCACACTATTGCATCGAGAATCCTCAAGAAAGCGTCTCACCCTTAACAAAAAAAAAGGTACACCGGATATGCAAGGAAGAGGGAAGAACAATGATGCAGCAGCGAAAAACACGTATCAGAGGTGGCAGCGAATATTGCAGCGTCACATACACACACACACACACACACACACACACACACACATCACATCACACAAAACGAGATTCCACCACGAGCCAGTACAGCGTGCACGCGAAAGAAATTCCAACAAACTACACAAAAAAAAGGCAAATAAAATGAAAGACGACATCTGCTTTACATTAAGTCACTGATGTGTACTGAACCAAGCAGGTTGCTAGCCGGCTCGACTCCACCTTTGCAGCGCACCTCTGATGACTGGCGCAGTGCGATGCTGCCGAAGAGGCTGTCCTCCTGATGCGGGACTTGCCCCTTTATTGCCCCGACAGACTTCACATAGGCGTGCGCCAGCCGCTGCTGAACATTCTTGTACACTTCCCCAGCGTCGCCGTACGGGTTCTCTTGGAGACCTAATGCACCGTGAAGGTAGTTGTTTTTGCATTGGCGGTGCAGCTTTACTCTGTCCTGGCGGGCGCGTTTCAGCAGGCCGACAATGTTTCGTTCCTGCGGCGACGTGGCGCAGATGGCCGGCAGCGCCTCCACGTCGCAGCGCGCGCAGAGCGGGATCATCGCCGCAAGCTGCTCACCAGTTCCCGCGGCGACTGTGCAGTGGGCCACCGCCTCTAGTTCTTCCGGTGCGATGCGGTTGCGGTCATGCCAGATGCAGTCTGCTGCGACGAAGTACGCACCGTGGTTGGGCGAGATGATGTTTGGCCCACCCCGCCATGTCTCGCGGAAGGCTGGGAGAATGCGTTTCTGTGGATCTTCGCCTGCAGTGGCGTCCGGCGGGCGCAGGTGTGCCGAGCCGTCGCGTAGGAAATTGCTGTTGCTGCTCTGATCGGACAGGTACTTATCGACCGTTTGGATTGCCCGCGTAACAGGAAGCGGCATATGTGCCCGCGCCTTCTTCCTTCCTTCAACAGGCACGACAAACAGAAACAGGTAGGGTTGACGGTACCAGCAACCGCACTTCGCTTTGCCAAGCACATCTCACAGCAAGGTAAACCAGGAAACAAGAAAAAAAGAATGAAGAAATTCACTGTACCCATCTCTCTTTTCATCACCCGATCAAAACGGTATTACTAAGAACAAAAAAACAACAACAAAAAACAATAATTTCTCCCACCCCGAACAAACAGAAGACAAAAAAAAAATCAACAACTAAAAAAGCACTGATGGGGGAGGTGGAAACAAAAAGACAATAATGATCTGTTCAAGCTACTGGCCGACGCTTTTAGTGTCAGTAGTAGTAGCAGTGTGAGGCGTGTAATTCATAACTGACCCGGCTGCACGCTACTCACGTGCGTCTATGATGCCTTGCTCTGAGATGCTGAAGACACACTCTACCTCCGGAAGCGAGGGGCTGTCGTAAATCTTGCACACCCGCTGATCACCGCGGCCTTTGCGCAGCGACAGACGCGTCGTGGAGGCGTGCGCGAGAATGTGTCCGCCAACCGGTTTCTTTGGATCGGCGACGAACATCGACGCCCCACCTGGGTCTGCCACAACCTGGTTTGTGATGTATACCGCCACGTTGAATTCTTCGGCTAGCTTTATAAGGTGGCTCATCATCTTTGCAAGCTTCTGCTGCCGCTCCGCTAGCTCCCCTCGTCCGGAAAAGTCGACACGGAAGAGGGCTGTGATACTGTCCACAACAAGGAGGCTAAACTGGTCCTCCGCCATTTTGGCCGCCACCATCGACAGCAGGTGCATTTGATGCTCGTGCGTGTACGCCCGCGCGACGAGAATGTTGCTGAGTACTGCGCTCACGTCAAGACCGAAACGTTCTGCAATGGGCTTGATGCGCTCCGGCCGGAATGTTGCCTCTGTGTCAACGTACACCGCCTTCCCGTTGCCACCGCCCATGGAGGACGGCAGCTGGCATGTCACACAGAGTGTGTGCGCAATCTGTGTCTTTCCCGTGCGGAACTCCCCGAAGGCCTCGGTGATGGACATGCTCTCAATGCCACCGCCCAGCAGCTGGTCCAGCGCGGTGCTCCCCGTTGTCACGCGCATCACCTTCACCCGCTGCTGGAGGTAGCTGGAGCCGTCCATGAAGCCGCATTCGGAGAGCTTGCGCGCCGCCTCGATGATCTTCTCCACCTTCGCATCGGAGAGACCCTTGATGAGCGCCAGATCCTTCCGGCACTGCATGTGGATGCCGGTGACGGTGAAGATGCCTGCCTGCCGCAACTTGGCGATGTCCGCCGTGGCGACGCCCTGCTCCGTGAGGCGGTCGATCTCCATGATGACATGTGCCGCGTCCTCCTGACATGAGGCGGTGTCGGAGCAGTGGGCGGCATCCTTGGTGGTGTCGCTCTTGTTTGACCGGGTTCCGGCTTGTTGCATGTATAAATATATATATATATATATATCGAGTGTCTTGCTGTTTTACCTTTTGCGCTCTGAGCGTCTATCTGTCTGTGGTCCACTTTGTGCACGAACGCAGACGCACACACAAAAGCAACAAGACAAACCAAGCCAACGAGAGAAAGACACAAAAGCCAAAAAAAAATAATTAAAGGAAAAAACAACAACAACTAAAAAGAGTTCAAGTAAGCAAACTTAGCAGGGAGCCCAGAGAGAGAGAGAGAGAGAGAGAACTGCGCCCCTGAAACACTCACACAAATTAGCGTAGATATACAGACCCATTAACAAGTAATAACGTGAAGAGATGAAGAACAACGACTTCAGACATTCTGTTGTGAAAGCATATGGAGCAAGTCACAAAACTTCTGCATATATGTGTCCACAAAAGCAGGCATGTACTGGTTTCGTGTGAGACGCGAGACATTCATACGCAAGCCTGAAAAAGCAACTCTCGTGTTGTTGTCGATACGATACAAACACTTGACGTACTGAATGTAGACGAGTGTAAATATAGCACCACCTGAGAACATAATGGTGAACAGCATAATAGCCTCCATCGTGGAAGCTTGCAAAACAAGAAGGGTTTGGTTTGTCGTGATCTTCTCCAAATATGGCAAGATAGCCTGGTGAACAGCTGGCGCAGCATTAGCTAACACGACTCGGTTTGCTGCAAGGCTCACTGCGCTGAAGACTCCCTGGACGGCAACCAAAAGCATCAGAGGCCCCACCCCACTGAGGAGTGCGGTGAAGCACAGCATCAATTCCAGCGTGCACCGGTAGTCGGCCCACTTCATCAAAACCGCCTTTGAGGGTTTGAGGAGACCGTGTGTGTGCGCAATAAGTGCCTGCTGCCCCATCACCGCCACCAGCAGCAGTGTCCAGGCGTTCCTGGCAAGCGCGGGGGAGAAGAAAAGGCCCAGCATCGTAACGACGGCAACCACCGTCACAATGGTGTCAGCGAGCAGACCGAACTTTCCGGTTGATATGTTCGATGGGGTGCCAATGCTGCCACCGTCGCCGCCACCGAGTGATTGCAGCAGCCGCAGCCGCAGCCGCCGCAAGCTGTCCTCAATGCTCGCGTTGCCGGGCGCCAGCGCCAGCGCCCGCTCGTACTCCACAGCGGCCTCTGGCAACCGGTTGAGGGCCCACAGCGCTTCGCCCACACGGGTATGCGCCCTGTGAGTTTCACGAATGCTGAGGGAGTGTCTCGCACAGGCGATAGCAGCGTCGTAGCGTTGCAATGCGTGGTTGGCGGCCGCGGCGTTGTTGTGCAGGTCAACATTCTGCGGATCCAATGCAATGGCCTGCTCGTACAGAGACAATGCCTCCTCAAACCGCTTAGCACCGAAGGCGGCGGTGCCGCTTTGCTTCAATTCCTCCGCAGTTGACATTCTTGTTTGCTCTTATTCTACTTAAGTTGTTGGTTGCGTGTGTGTGGGCGTGTATGTGAATATGCTTTCACCTGCACAGAGTTCGATCATGTTGCCGCGCAAGCAGGGGAATAGGAATATAATCCAACGAAGCAAAGATATAAAAAGAATAACAATATCAAGAGACAACAAAAACAATACTAGCCAAAACACACACAGTCCATCAGAAATGATTACGAGAAAAGAAAAATGACAGAGCAAGCTATTGGACACCTCCTGCGAAGCAGACAATGACGACACCTACGACCCTTCCTCCGATTTTTTTTTTGGTTTTCATCTCTACATGTCGACAGCAACACACACACTCACTCACTCACTCACTCACTACGTTGAAAATCCTCTCCTATTAACGATGCTGCGGCGGTGCGCGTCTTGTTGTTGTTGTTGTTGCTGCTGCTGCACACTATCCGCCGTATCATTCGACGCCACGAGCGGCCGCCGTCCGAAGACCTTATTATAGTTTTCCTCGCGGTTGATGAGCTCCAGTTTGTACATTTTCATGTCGTTTATTGCCTTTTTCAGCGTCTGATCCTTCTGCCGCCCTTCCTTCATAAGACGATTGATCATTGCCACATCCTCTGGCCGCGACTCGCGGTACTCGTAGCGATAGCGCAACTCCTCAAGCGCCGCCTGCAGCTCCCGCACCACTGCTTCTTGTGCCTTCCGCTCCTCCTGATGTTGCCACATCAGGTCGTCGACGAACAGCTTGTGCTGCGTGGCTGCCTCGTTGAGCTGCTGCTCCGTGCGATGCTGCTGTTCCTGCTTCTTCCTTTCAAAGTCGCGTTGCATCGCCTCTAGTTTGGCATCAAACTCCTCTTGCGCCGCCGCCATGTTGATTCGTTCCCGTGCGAGCTCCTCAGCGCTCTTGCGCAGGTCATGTGCCAGCGCGTCGACGTCAAGCCGCGCCAGCTTCAGATCCTCCTGGGCATCGGTGCACTTTTGCCGCATCGCTGCAAGGGCCTCATCGGCACGCCGCTGCACCGTGACACGCTCCGCGGTCAGCGCGGCACGGAGCTCGTCCAGGGCGGTCTGCATCTTCTGCGCGTGCCTCGATTCCACGCTGGCGATGTACGACTTGTGCAGCGACTCCACCTCCAGACGTGAGCGATTCGACTCCTCCTCAAGCCCCTCGAACGCCTGCTGGAGTTTGCGCTCGCGCGCCTGCCCGGCCTGCACACTCTTCTTGAGCGCTGCGCACTCCTCTTGTGAGCATAGCAGCGCGGCGGCGTTGCTGTTCACTTCGCTAAGCAGCCTCTCCGCGTCGGCGTTGAGTTTGGCGATGTGCTCCCGCTGCGCACGTACCTCTTCGGAGAACTTACACGCCTGCTCCTTCGCGCCCTGCCGCACTGCATCCAGCTGCTCGCGCAGCAGCTGCAGCTCCTCCTCACGCCGCCGCAACTGCTCCGTGAGCTCCTTCTGCGTGCGCTGGAAGGCGGCGCGCTCCTCCTCAAGCCGGCGGCGCGCCACCTCGGCGAGCTCCTCAATCTCG